GGCATAGTTAAATGGCCATTATATAAAATGGCAAAATCAAAGTTTGTTTTTTGGAATTTACAGTATATCCTTTTGCAATATTGTCAAACTGAGAATGGTTGAATCTATAGATAAAGAATCCAAGGATACGGTGGGCCAACTGTAGTTTTTTAGGCAATAGGATGGTTAGGTGAGACTGGAAATCTGAGAGCTTTTTCAGGCAATCAGGTTCTCCCACCACCACCCCAAACAATTATTGTCAGTGTGCCTTTCTTCCTATGACGACAAACATCTTATTCCATATAGTGTTTCCAGTAAATTGCATTTCTCCAGAAATAAACCACAGCATTTGATCTCTGCAAATACACCTAGCATGGACCTCTGTTGTACACATAAGGACGACATATTTTGGCAGTATCACTGTGATAAATAGCTGATGTCTCTTTTTTCTTATGTTGTATTATGCTTTTCCATTTAAATTGCTGTTTCTTAAAGAAAAAATATGGCAGAGTCTAAAAGTACTCTGCAAATAAAAAGTAGTTAGTCAGGATTTTAAGATTTTAAAAAAAGCACCTCAAAGTACTAAATACCAACACAGGGGCACTGGGGTGGGGAGCATCAATACTGTAGAAATAATGCAGAAATAACTTTAAGTGCTGTAGCTCCATTCGATGGAATCCTGGGATTTGTAGTTTAACATGGTCTCTAGCCTTTTCTGCCAAAGCATGCTGGTGCCATACAAAATTACAAATCTAAGGATTCTGTAGGTTGAAGTCATGGCATTTAAAGTGGTGTCACACTGCATTATTTCTACAGTGTAGATGCATGCTAAGAGCTATAGTCCAAAAAGCAACCTTCCAGGCTTTGCATACAAGAAGGGAGATGAGAAAGGAGTCTTGCCATTTTTGAGATTTGGGTACAGAAAGGCCACTTTAGCACAGCATAAGGAGGATTTCTCAGGGCTTGTGGGAGATCTTGTCTTGAGCAAAAGATTCAGAGACATTTTTACCCAAAATTCTCTGTGCAAAACCATGACTGAGATCCTGTATGGGGCTGCACAGAGTAAATCTTCATAGGCAGAGTTATACTGTGATTGTGCTATGCACTCCTCATATTATCAGGATCATAGATTTAGAAGAGACCCCCAAGGGCCATCCAGTCCAAACCCCTGCCATGCAAGAACTCACAATCAAAGCACCCCTGACAGATAGCCATCCAGACTCTGTTTAAAGACCTCCAAATAAGGAGACTCCACCACTCTCCCATGGAGCATGTTCCACTGTCAGGAATTTCCTCCTAATGTTGAGGCAGAATCTCTTCTCCTGTAGCTTGCATCTATTGTTCCATGTCCTATTATCTGGAGCTGCAGAAAACAAGCTTGCTGCATCCTCAATATGAATCCCTTCAAATATTTAAACAAGGTTATCCACCTCTTAACCTTCTCTTCTCCAGGCTAAACATACCTAGCTCCCTAAGTCTCTCCTCATAGGGCATGGTTTCCAGACCTTTCACCATTTTGGTTGCCCTCCTCTGAACACACTCCATGTTGAATGTTGAATGGATCATGTTGAATGAACAAGTTAAATGGCCATGTTGTCCCATCTGCATTTCTGTTGAGGTGGAATGCTGGAAGTTGCAGTCCAACAACATCTGGAGAGCTGCAATTTGCCCACCACTACAGTTGTTATTGGCTGCCAAGTCATCTTCATGGCAAGGAGACTTGCCATGAGACAACATGAGTCATCGGAAAAGACAATAATGCTTGGTAAAATGAAGGCATGGGCCTAAATACCCTCAAGGTATCAGCTCCCATCTAATCTTAGAAGCTAATCACTGCCAGCTCTGGTTAGTACTTGGATGGGAGGCTGCCAACTAAT